TCACGACTTATCATGTACTCTCGCGACCTATCATGTACTCTCACGACCTATCATGTACTCTCACGACCTATCATGTACTCTCACGACCTATCATGTACTCTCACGACCTATCATGTACTCTCACGACTTATCATGTGCTCTCACGACCTATCATGTCCTCTCGCGACATTTCATATACTCTCACAAACTTCCATGTACTCTCACAGCCTATCATGTACTCTCACGACCTATCATGTACTCTCACGACTTATCATGTACTCTCACGACCTATCATGTACTCTCACAACCTATCATGTACTCTCACGACTTATCATGTACTCTCACGACCTATCATGTACTCTCACGACCTATCATGTACTCTCACGACTTATCATGTGCTCTCACGACCTATCATGTACTGTCACAACCTATCATGTACTCTCGCGACCTTTCATATACTCTCACAAACTTCCATGTACTCTCACGACCTATCATGTACTCTCACGACTTATCATATACTCTCACGACCTATCATGTACTCTCACAACCTATCATGTACTCTCATAACCTATCATGTACTCTCACGACCTATCATGTACTCTCACAACCTATCATGTACTCTCACGACCTATCATGTACTCTCACGACCTATCATGTACTCTCACAACCTATCATGTACTCTCACAACCTATCATGTACTGTCACAACCTATCATGTACTCTCACAACCTATCATGTACTCTCACAACCTATCATGTACTCTCACAACCTATCATGTACTCTCACAACCTATCATGTACTCTCACGACCTATCATGTACTCTCACAACCTATCATGTCCTCTCACGACCTTTCATGTACTCTCACAACCTATCATGTACTCTCACACCTTCATGTACTCTCACGACCTATCATGTACTCTCACAACCTATCATGTACTCTCACAACCTATCATGTACTCTCACAACCTATCATGTACTCTCACAACCTATCATGTACTCTCACAACCTATCATGTACTCTCACAACCTATCATGTACTCTCACAACCTATCATGTACTCTCACGACCTATCATGTACTCTCACGACCTATCATGTACTCTCACAACCTATCATGTACTCTCACAACCTATCATGTACTCTCACAACCTATCATGTCCTCTCACGACCTTTCATGTACTCTCACAACCTATCATGTACTCTCACAACCTATCATGTACTCTCACGACCTATCATGTACTCTCACGACCTATCATGTACTCTCACAACCTATCATGTACTCTCACAACCTATCATGTCCTCTCACGACCTTTCATGTACTCTCACAACCTATCATGTACTCTCACAACCTATCATGTACTCTCACGACCTATCATGTACTCTCACAACCTATCATGTACTCTCACGACCTATCATGTACTCTCACGACCTATCATGTACTCTCACGACCTATCATGTACTCTCACGACCTTTCATGTACTCTCACAACCTATCATGTACTCTCACAACCTATCATGTCCTCTCACGACCTTTCATGTACTCTCACAACCTATCATGTACTCTCACAACCTATCATGTACTCTCACGACCTATCATGTACTCTCACAACCTATCATGTACTCTCACAACCTATCATGTACTCTCACACGACCTATCATGTACTCTCACGACCTATCATGTACTCTCACAACCTATCATGTACTCTCACAACCTGTCATGTACTCTCACAGCCTATCATGTACTCTCACGACCTATCATGTACTCTCACAACCTATCATGTACTCTCACGACCTATCATGTACTCTCACAACCTATCATGTACTCTCACAACCTATCATGTACTCTCACGACCTATCATGTACTCTCACGACCTATCATGTACTCTCACAACCTATCATGTACTCTCACAACCTATCATGTACTCTCACGACCTATCATGTACTCTCACGACCTATCATGTACTCTCACAACCTATCATGTACTCTCACAACCTATCATGTACTCTCACAACCTATCATGTACTCTCACGACCTATCATGTACTCTCACAACCTATCATGTACTCTCACAACCTATCATGTACTCTCACGACTATCATGTACTCTCACGACCTATCATGTACTCTCACGACCTATCATGTACTCTCACAACCTATCATGTACTCTCACAACCTATCATGTACTCTCACACCTATCATGTACTCTCACAACCTATCATGTACTCTCACAACCTATCATGTACTCTCACAACCTATCATGTACTCTCACACCTATCTGTACTCTCACAACCTATCATGTACTCTCACAACCTATCATGTACTCTCACGACCTATCATGTACTCTCACGACCTATCATGTACTCTCACGACCTATCCATGTACTCTCACAACCTATCATGTACTCTCACAACCTATCATGTACTCTCACAACCTATCATGTACTCTCACGACCTACATGTACTCTCACAACCTTTCATGTACTCTCACACCTATCATGTACTCTCACGACCTATCATGTACTCTCACGACCTATCATGTACTCTCACAACCTATCATGTACTCTCACAACCTATCATGTACTCTCACAACCTATCATGTACTCTCACGACCTTTCATGTACTCTCACAACCTATCATGTACTCTCACGACCTATCATGTACTCTCACAACCTATCATGTACTCTCACAACCTATCATGTACTCTCACAACCTATCATGTACTCTCACAACCTATCATGTACTCTCACAACCTATCATGTACTCTCACAACCTATCATGTACTCTCACGACCTTTCATGTACTCTCACAACCTATCATGTACTCTCACGACCTATCATGTACTCTCACAACCTATCATGTACTCTCACACCTATCATGTACTCTCACAACCTATCATGTACTCTCACGACCTATCATGTACTCTCACAACCTATCATGTACTCTCACAACCTATCATGTACTCTCACAACCTATCATGTACTCTCACGACCTTTCATGTACTCTCACAACCTATCATGTACTCTCACGACCTATCATGTACTCTCACAACCTATCATGTACTCTCACAACCTATCATGTACTCTCACAACCTATCATGTACTCTCACAAACTTTCACGTAGTCTCAAAAACTTTCATGTATTCACATGTACTCTCACGACCTTTCTTGTACTACCATGTACTCTCACGAACTTTCATGTACTCTCACGACTTTTCAGGTACTCTCACGACCTTTCATGTACTGCCATGTGCTCTCGCATACTGCCTCGTACTGTCATGTACTGCCGTGTACTCGCCTGGAGGTGACTCTCGAAGGCAGTGACGATGTCAGAGCCAAGCACAAGAGCGAAGTGCGTGGTAATGACCAGACTCAGAGCTGACTTCCTTCTCAGCGTCTCCGGCCGGAACTTCACCTGACGAAGAAAGGCAGACAAGAAAAACATTAACACCTGTCAAGGAAACAGACAAAAACAGCCTCAATAGCTGGCATGGAAACACGATTATAAATAAATGTCCACACTCTCTCACATACACACACACACACACACACAAACGTACACAGCCACGTATGTGTCCACATCAGGAGTGACAAATCCATTGCTACCGGACAGATAGACAGATATACCTTCTCTAATTCCTCACTGTAAGAGCTCTCCACTAGCATGAAGCCGACTTCCCCTTCCTTCCCTCCCCCTCCTCTCCCTTCCCCTTCTCTCCCCTCCCTTCTCCCTCTCCTCCCTTTTTTCCCTCCTCCCGTGAGTGGAGTTCCATTCCCCGTGTTCATGCGTTCCCAGGCATTATAATCGGTCTTCGTAGACTTGTCGTGGGAAAAATGTGACGTCAGACTTCAGACTTTTATTTTTACCCCCCCCCAGAGTTGTGTACAAGTTTAAGCAGTGATGGGGGTATATCACTTTGAGGTATACCGAGAGAGTATGCTTGTATTGTCGACGGAGCTGTATCTCCCGAGTAATAGAGTGTGGGCACTGGGTCTGACAAGTCTCTGACACAACTCTGACAAGTCTCTGACACGACTCTGACAAGGCTCTAACAAGGCTCTGACTAGGATCTAACAAGGCTCAAACAAGGCTTTGACAAGGCTCTAATAAGGCTCTGATAAAGCTCTAACAAGGCTCTGACAAGGCTCTCACAAGGCTCTAACAAGGCTCTCACAAGGCTCTAACAAGGCTCTAACAGGGCACTGACAAGGCTCTAACAAGGCTCATAAAAGGCTCTAACAAAACTCTGACAAGGCTCTAACAAAGCTCTAACATAGCTCTGATAAGGCTCTAACAAGGCTCTGACAAGGTTCTCATAGCGATATCACTGACTTCATTGTGCTTAACCGGACATCTCCTAGAATTTGAATAATTTGGACACTGCAGGCCTATTGATCATCTGGTATCTTGGCGTAAATGCTTTTATACTCGGTGTAAGTGAAGGTGGAGAGTCCACATGTCTGCCTACAACTGACATTTGCCAGTTGTAGAGATGAGAACTTAAAATGTCTCCAGAGTGATGGGTACTCACGGCCAAATCAGCGCCTGGCGGATAACTGCAAAAATCTTTTCAACTTTTAATCTTTTCCAGCTGACTTGTTGCGAGCTAATGTTGCAACTGGTGTTGTCGTTGAAGCTGTGAGAGCATTCCCACTGACTGGTGTTACTAGTGAAGCTGGGGTAGTGAACACCCAAGAATTATCTGGGTCTTCCGAAAATATAAATGTGTCTTCCTAGTTCACTTGAGTTTTTGGAGGATAAAAAGTTTGGTAAGCCTATCTGGGAGACTGTACGTATCCCACTTCGACCAGTCTGAGTGGAGTGTACCTTACACACGCTGTGAGACAGTCAGGTGTGCAGGTCAGCAACCTGTACACTTGACTAGTCAACTGTGACTAAATCAATAATCAACTGGTTGCAGGAACCTTGGACTGTGTACGGGGTCAAAGTAACCTCCTGAATTCTCTTCGTGTTCTCTGATTTCCCCAGCGTTTACTAAGCCGAGATTCTACGATGCCAGATACAGTGACA